CGCCCTCGAACCATGCGATGTGGCCATAAAATGTACCGTCTCGTCGACAACCGGTCGAGATGCGCTCCAGTTCGTCGGCCCAGTTTCGAAGTTGAACCGACTGTCCGTCAACAGCTTCACCGTCGGAACCGCGACTCGAGCCGATCACCTCAAACCGGACTCAGACGCCGAGTGAAAGTGTACATTTCTGTCCGTCAGTCTCACCTTATCTGGCTGTACTGCACATGCCAACAGTTTGCTCAAGCCTTACGGCAGGTCTGGTGAGGCGAGTTTTTTCCCACTTCATGTCTTCTACCCTCGGCGAGGTGATTAGCCTCTTTAACCGCTTTGCAGAAATCCTGCTCATCTCGCCTGGCAACCGTGCTTGGCAGTCTGTCAAAAACCTATTCTCCAGACGGTGGATGGCCGTCGGCCAGGCGACTCGGTACCATCATCCTCCCAGGCCCCTACTACAAGCCACCACCAAACCGACCGACCGACCGACCGACCGACCGACTAGGCCGTCCCGCTCGACTTGTCGTTTCATTAGAAAAGTGTCACTTCTTTCGGTAGGCGGCTTGCCGGTGCCCAGACGAGACTTGATTTTGTCTTTTAAGAAGTCGCCTCATCAAACAGTCGTCAGGTGAGGCAGGTGTGGCTCGTATAGGCCTGGCTTATGCACAAGGTGAAGATGAGCAGAGCCGAGGGAGAGGAGAGCAAAGGAAATGTACACTCAAATGGGACATTTCACAAGTGAAATTAACATTCAGTGCAAAGTAAACGGAATAATTCAATTATTTACCCATCGCAAGAAAGCTTGTAAAGGGAATATTACTCAAAGGAAAGATTTCGAGATTAGATGATCTAAGCCTCCGTTGTGTATAGCATCGGCATACTTTAGAAAAGTCCTTACTTTTTCTAATATGAATAGTATATATATAAATAAATAAATAAATATATAAATGAAATCATCATGATGAAATTTTCTCTAATTTAAAACTGGGATTCATGCGAAGATGTAGATAGGACTCCTTAAAATCTTTAATGTAATTATAATTATAAACATGCAAATAGGACACCTTTATCTATATGTACTTATAATTTTAGTTATATTTAAAAAAAATAATATATATATATATATATATATATATAATGCATATACGCATAAATATTAATATTTCGATAAACATTTACATCTGTTTATATTTATCATATTTATCTATTTGTAACTAGGAAATTAGAGAGGACTGCAACTCTTTAAGTATCATAAGTTTAAAATAGAGCAAATTTATCATTAGCATTTTTAAAATTATTGTTTGTCTACAATCATATTTGTAGTTACAATTGTATTTATGACTTTAAAATCTTATAAACTGGAGCTTTTACAGAATCGCCAGTTACAAATAGTGTATATGTTTTGGTCAGCATAGAAATAAATAGGGTAATTATATGCTTATCTATCTATCAATAAATAAATAAATAAATAAATAAATAAATAAATAAATAAATAAATAAATAAATAAATAAATAAAT